CATTTTTCCCCATTTTTCCCCATTTTTCCCCATTTTTCCCCATTTTTTCCCATTTTTCCCATTTTTTCCCATTTTCCTCCATTTTTCTTTTATTCCCTCATTTTTTCCATTTTTTTCCATTTCCCCCCATTTTTTTCCATTTCCCCCCAATTTTTTTCCATTCCCCCCGTTTTTTTCCCTTTCCCCCCATTTTTTTTCATTCCATTTTTTTCAATTTTTCCCTCTTTTTTTTCCATTTTTCCCCATTTTCCCCATTTTCCATTTTTTCCATTCCCCCATTTTTTCCATTTTTCCCCATTTGTCCTCTCATTTTTTTCCATTTTCCACATTCCCCCTCATTCTTTTCCATTTTCCCCATTTTTTCCAGCAAACCTTTTTCTTTTTCTTTTTCTTTATTTTTTCTTTCTTTTTATTTTTTATTTTTTTTGTGTTGGTGCCGATGACCTCCCCTCACGTTCCGTCCACCTTCCTCTAGGTGCCAGCCACATCCCTGAGCAGCACCCGCTCGCAGGTGGCCCCTGGAGTGGCAGTGGCAGTGGCCTTGGTCCCGGTGGGAGCGGTTCTCCGTTCCTCCTGGACGGAGGTAAGGTGACGCTCTGGCAGCCAGCAGCAAAAGAGACTCCCAAATTTCACTGCTTCCACACCAAGAGCCAGCAAAAGAGACTCCCAAATTTCACTGCTTCCACACCAAGAGCCAGCAAAAGAGACTCCCAAATTTCACTGCTTCCACACCGACAGCCAGCAAAAGACACACACCCAAAATTTCACTGCTTTCCACACCGACATTCCAAAGGATTTTTTTCCTTCAGCCAAGTGACTGGAGTTCCTCCTTTTACCTGGGGGCAGGTTTTCCAAAAGGCAAAACGATCCCTACGTCTGCCAGTTGTTTCCTTAAAGGAATGACTCTCCCTGCACAGGTGGGATCTCAGATGGGCTTGGTCTTAAACTGTGCCAGGGGAGGTTTAGGCTGGACTTTGGGAAGAAGTTCTACACAGAAGGAGTGACTGGGCATTGGAAGGGGCTGCCCAGGGAGGTGGAATCAACATCCCTGGAAGTGTTTAAGGAAAGAATGGATGTGGCACCGAGTGCCACGGTCTGGTGTTGGGTCAAAGGGTTGGACTGGGTGATCTTTGCCAACCTGTTTGACTCTGGGAAGCACTAATTGAGTGTTCCCCATCTGTCTCAGGCTGGCCATGTGGTCCTTTGTACTTAGGAGTGGGGACTTATTAGAACTTCCTGGCTCATTTGCTTGTTGTTGTAGGAATTTACAATCAATATTTGCAGTCCTGAGTCAGCACAGCAGAAACTCACAGGCTTTTCCTCCGAGTCTACCTTCTCTCTTGAAATCAGAGAGTAAAGTGTTTTAGTGCTTGCCTGAATCAGGGCTTGGACTATTCCTGTTTCAAGGAATTTAGTGTTCTTAGTCAACAGAAATGGTACTTGGGAGATGCAGGACTCCGTCAACAGAAATGGTACTTGGGAGATGCAGGACTCCAGAGTTAAGTCCTGGAGTTAACTCCAGAGTTAAGGCTCAACAGCCTTATCTTGCTCTTGTAGAAAAAAAATAGCAATTTTATCACTGATTCAGTGGGAACAGAACTGGGAATTTGATGTATTAATAGCCATGGGAGATGAGCCAGATCCTCTTTTCTTGCCTTGCTGCAAATCTGGAGCCACGTGGCCCTGCTGGAGCCACACTTCCCTCGCAGTGCCAGGGTGAGAGCACGCTCTCACCAGGCAGTGTTTGCTTCTCCTGCTAAAAACTGCAATCACTTCTCTGACAGCAAATCCAAAAAAAGATAACGTGTGATATGTGCCATTTTAAACCCTTCCTGTTGTGGCTTCCTCATCTCCTTTGGCTCTTGGATAGAGCTGAAGGATTCCTCGTGATCCACGACTTCGGGACCGCTTTCTTTATCTGGGACTTTGCTGTAGTTGCTCTGGGGAGTTCAAGAGCCTTTAAGGTTCAGGTGCCTTGTTCTGCCGTTGTTTTCAAGGCTCAGATCTGTAGTTCTTGCAGCCTTCCCTGCTCTTACTCTTTGCACAGACCACTCAGCTCTTTTAGAAACACTTTGTCAGCCACAATCCTGGCTTGTTTTCCTTCCTAAATCACAGCCTTGGGGTAGATCACGGGAACTTAAACCTCTGGAGTTTTTGGAGGACAGACACTCCCAGCCCAGTAAGTTAAAAGCAGCAAAAAGGTGAATCCAGGCAGAATTCCCAAAGTTGACCAGGCATCCCTCAGGACAAAGGTGATGTGCCATCCCTTTTCCTGCAGGAGCAATTCTTGGATGTGCTTCTTCCTTCCTTCCTGTCGTTTTCTTGGCTGCTTTTGGATGTGAGCTGGGAAAGGGAGAAAGTTTCTCTGCCACTGACACATTGTGTGTCCTTGGCCAAGTTGCTTCATCTCTTCACTTCCATCCCTGGGATTGTCCAAGGCCAGGCTGGACGGGGCTTGGAGCAACCTGGGCTGGTGGAAGGTGTCCCTGCCCATGGCAGGAGGTGGGACTGATGAGCTTTAAGGTGCCTTCCAACCCAAACCATTCCACGATTCAACGATTCCTGACTCCATTTCTGGGATGCAGTCAGCTGTTCTTGTAACATTCACTGGCTAAGCAGGGAATTTGGGAAGCACTGTGGGCAAAGGGAAGGTGGAAGATGCTTTAAGAGTTTGCCCAGGATACACATCCCACGGCTGATGCAGTCTGACCCAGCCATGGCCAATCAAAGGAAGTGCCCCAGTGACAAGTGCAAAGCTCTGGGGAGAGCAGGGACAGAGTGGACACCGAGCTGCCCAGTGGTGAAAGCACAGGGGTGTCTTTGTTTGCTGGTGACACCCCCCCAAACCTGCTGCAAAGCAAAGCTGTCTCTGCTGCTGCTCCGCTCCAGCCTCCGTCACGGCGTCCCTCATGGATTGCAGCCCTCAGCAGCCCAAAGTGCCAGGGCAGTGCTGGAGCATCCCTGCATGAAGGGCAGCGTGGGGACACACGGACACCATAAGGCTTTGCAGTTTTTCCTCGGGGGGCTGAGTGGGAAGAGCAGTGCCCCGTCCCTCGTGCGTGTGACGGCCTGCGCAGCCCTGTCCCCACCCCGTGGTCTCGGCTGGGCCGGGTTCTGGAGGGCCCTGGGTATTAAAATGGGCTTGGTTTGTGTTCTGTTGGCCCCGCAGGTCTGAGCAGTGACAGCGGGCTGGGCGGGAGCACCGACGGCAGCACCGACATCCTGGTGTTCGGCTCCGTGGTGGACAGCGTGACAGAGGAAGGTGGGTGTGAGGGACAGAACCCTCGAGATGAGTAATCAAAGCTTTTAAACCATCCCAGAAGGGCCAGAGGAGAAGAGGAGGAAGACAAAGAAGGTGAAGAGATGGTCTTTTTGGGACCAGAGGTTCAAATTTGAGAGGCGTGGTGAGGTTGGTGCTATGGGAGGGACGGTTTTGGAAGTGGGTGTAACAGTTCAGGTAAAGTCCAAATATTATAATCAGAATCTGAATATTGTAATCACATGATGGTATAAAACTGTAAAAGTGTGTCTTCTGTGAAATCAGTGTGGGCAAAATATTTTTGTGTCGCAGCCAAGAAGTGCTTTTTGCCTTTTAATTCTCAAAAATAGTCCAGGTAATTATTTTTCTGATTTTAGGCATCAGGTGTCACAGGGGGAACTGGGGTGGCAGCTAAGGCAGGATGGATGTCAGGGCTGCCTGGTGTCAGGAACAACAGGGAACATGAGAAACTGGAAGTGTGAAGCTTTTTGGCTCATCTCTCTCCATCCTTTCCTGCCTCTCAGAGTGTGAGGTGTCCGAGGAGTCCAGCGGGGAGGCAGAGATTGAACAGGAGGCATCCGACTTGGAGGACCTGAGGGAGCTGCACCCTGGCTTGTTGATCTACAAGGCAGCACAAGCCCGAAATCTGCCCCTCATGGCAGAAGCACTCGCCCACGGTGCTGAGATCAACTGGGTGAACGACGAGGATGAGAACAAAACTCCTCTGATTCAAGCTGTGAAGGGGGTATGTTCTGAGGTCCTGGCTGTAGTTTGGAGTGCACTGACCACGACCTGGTATGTCCTTGTGCATCCTCCCAGTGCTCCTGGCTGGGATACATGCAAAAATTCCTCTTTTCCTTGCCAGGGCTCCTTGATAGCCTGTGAATTCCTGCTGCAGAACGGGGCAGACGTGAACCAAAGAGACAGCAGAGGCCGGGCCCCCCTGCACCACGCCACGTACCTGGGGCACACTGGGTGAGTGCTCTGCACCTTCCTGGGATGTTCCCCATCCCCTGGGATCAGGATCCAGCGTTAACACCAAGAGCCAGGGGTGAGGTGGGCGCAGGAGCTGGTTTTTGGGGAATTGGTGATTTGCAAAGCATAGCTTTTATATCATATCAGCAACGGGAACCCTGACAGAGGGGAGGAAATTGTTCCCTGTGAGGGTGGAGAGGCCCTGGCACAGGGTTGCCCAGAGAAGCTGTGGCTGCCCCAAGATTATCCAATGGATAATTGCCTCCCTGATGATGGATAGGGGGTAGCTGTGTCCCTGCACACCCACTCCTCTCTCCATGCCACGGTGGCGTTTCCCAATTCTCACCAGCCCAAGCAAAGCTGTGCCTGCCTGTGGAAGGACAGCGTGCTCTGCCTGCACCTTTGAGGGGTGGGGGAGCTGGAATTTCTGCTCTGATGGTCCCTTCCTGTCCCTCCTGCAGCCAGGTGTGCCTGTTCCTGAAGAGAGGGGCCAACCAGCACGCGGTGGACGGCGACGGGCAGGACCCGCTGAGCATCGCGGTGCAGGCGGCCAACGCAGACATCGTCACCCTGTGAGTGCTGCCAGGGCTGCCACTGCTCACAGAGTCAACCAGCCTGGCACTCAAAGCACCAGGCCACTGTTGGCTCATCCCTGTTTTTCCTTTGGAGTCTTTAGGATGCTGTACAGCGAGTTCAGAGGGCAAAACGTGCCGCTTTCAGAGCCTTGTGTCGCTCCCCTGCGGCCCCTCTGGAGTGGGACCCACAGATTGAGATAACTCTGGTGTTCCAGTGCCTTTTCACTGTCAGCTGAAGCTTTAGAGTGGCCCCAGAACTGCTTCTGATTCTGTTTGCTGGTTCTCCCAATACACAGCACTGCACTCTCCTGAGCTCTCAATAAATTTTGACCTCTGGCTGCGAGAGAAATGGGTCTGCCAGAAACCCGAGGGTCACTGGGACACATTTCAATGCACAATCAGAAAGAATATGCTGGAAAATACAGCAAAATCTTTCTTAAGGGGAAGACACTAGAATTAATCACCCCCCGTGGAAATACCACCAGTGAATCTGTGTGAATTTTGGTATTTTTTGGAAACTGAAACTGCTGGATGTGTTAATCTTTTTAGCTTCAGTGCATCTCCTCAGTTAAATTATCTTGTATACTCCCAGTTGGGTGTGCAAAGGACACAGCACTGGGCCTTCGAAAAAAATGTGATATTTTAGTTCCCTGCTTTAAATTATTTCATATTCACCTTGAAAAGAGGTCATGGCTGAGCTCGGATCAGGAACAGTGCCTGGAGATTGCCACCAAAGAAGGAATAACCAAACCTCTCTCTGCTTGTGCTCTCTCTGTCCCACTCCAGGCTGCGTCTGGCTCGGATGAACGAGGAAATGCGGGAAGCAGAGGGTCCCTTTGGACAACCAGGGCAATATCCCAGCAACAGCCCCACTGAGCTGCAGTACAGGAAGTGCATACAGGAGTTCATCAGCCTTAATATAGACGAGTGTTAGTGACAACTCCCCCGTGTCCCCTCTGCTGTCTTGAAGTTGGGCTGAAGTTTTCCAGAAGCCCTGAGAAGCCCCATCCTTGGTATATTGGTGTTCCTTGCAGATTGGTCTGTTTTTGATGCCTGCACATTATAGGTTGAGCTGCACACAGGAAGGACAAAGGGAGTCTTTTCCTGTTAAGCATTAAGTTCTCATGCTTGACTACTGGATGGTTGGTTTTTTGTGTAGGAGACTCCCAGGGCATGACTACAGACCATGGCACGTGGACTTGAGTGTGTGAGAAGTGTGGGAGGCGAGTTTAGCATTAAAAATAAAAGGAGACAAAAAAAAAAAAAAAGAAGAAAAGAAAAAAAAAAAAGAGAAAAGGAAAAGGAAACCTTCTCTCATCAGGAGAAACCCACCAAGAACATGATCAGACGAAGCCGTCTCTGCCTCAGGGCGCTGAGTTCTTGTCTGAACAGTTGGCCTGGGAGGGATCCTGGCGTGGAGCTCTGGGTCCTGGCAGCGTGACCAGCAGTTTAGAAAACTTCAGAGCTGACCTCTGAGTCAGGAACAGGCTGCTCTGTGGGGCAGAGACGTTTTGCTCCACAAGGCACAGAGGGGGTAGGGCTGAGAGCGACGGCTCCTCACCTTCATTGCTCTCAGGACTAAACCAGCCACCCTCCCCTTATTTTTTTTTTTTTTGCCCTCGGTGATTTAGCTGGTCAAAGCCATAGCTCCCCGCTTCCTGGGCCAAGATGCAAAGTGCACAGTGTTGTGGAAGCAGCAGTGCTGATTTTTTGGAGGCCGGGAGAAGCTTGTCGCCGGCGATGGGCTTTGTGTCAGGGAAGAGAAGCCACGTCCAGCCCCCACCACGGCCATGCCTGCAGTTGGACTTCAGCTCAGTTTGTGTCCTGGTCACCTCAGATTTTCTGACAGCACCCCTGGGAAGGAGAATTCCACTTGCATGTGTTCCCTCTGTGCTCACCCCCTGCATGCCAGAGTGTCTCAGCAGCTGGCCCAGGGGCTCTGGAGTTCCCCGGTTCCGGTGACCAGCAGAATCTTCTCGGTGTTCCTTTCCTTTTCCTCGTGTTATTCTTGGCTGGAGTGAGGGAATGTGGATCTGCTCAGAGCACTTTGTTGCTGTGTCGATGGTCTGTGTCTCTGCAGAGCTGCTGGAGCTCTGTCATCCTGTCTTGGGAGGGCTGGCAGAGCACAGGTACCACTGGTGTCCTCTGGCTGGGAGCTGAGCTGTGCTGCTGGAAGAGCCTCTTTCCAACCTCCCCAACCACAATTGGCATCAGAGTTTGTCAGGACTTGTGGGTGACAGTCCCCTGCCTGGGCACCGAGGCTGCTGGCTCTGGGGTCAGGCCATAGTGCCTTATGGATTGTCCTGGGATTTTGAGGGGATCAAGAGCTTGTGAGAAAAGCAAGAATCCCAGGCAGACTTCCCTGTCCTCCTGCATTCCATCAGCAGTGATAAAAAATCAGCTTATTTCTCATCCATTGCACATTTGACTTCACAATTTTTGCAGCCTGGCTGCTGCCCTGCTCACCCCTCAGTGGCTCAAACCCCTACAAAGGGAAACCTTTGTAGGTTTTGTTTCTGTTGCTCTAAATGTGCCCTCAGAGACTGAACCAGCAGCACTCGGTGTCCACCCACAGAGCTGCAGGTGGATCAATAAACTCCACTCAGTCTCTTGTAGGGTCCTCTCAGTTCAAGGGACAGTCCCTGCTTCCTTAGGAAAGTGCTGTCCCAAGTTCTCCTGCAGCCAGAGCAGTTTTCTGGCTGTGCAATCTGGATCTGGAGGTTCATCTTTATCTTGTTGCTTTCTCATTCCCGTTGGAGCTCTGGGATGAGTCCCAAGGGCTCAGTTCTGATCCCAGTGTCTGAATCTGGAATGGTCCTGGAATGGTCCTGGTTCTGATCCCAGTGTCTGAGTCTGGAATGGTCCTGGGGGCTCTGCAGTGCAAACACTGCCCCCAGGGCCTTTCATGCTTCCTGAAATAAGGAACAATCTCCTTCCAGCAGTCTTGGAAAATGAAAATTCTCCCTTTTTAGCTGCTCAATGCCTGGTCTGAAACTATCCTGTGGTCTTGGAGCAGGCAGTGCTCCCTCTGAACTTTTCCCTGAGTGAAAGCTGTAGGACAGGCCCTGCAGCTGGCAGAGGGCAGATCCCTTGGTCTGCTCATCCTCTGCCCAGCTCTGGCACCCTCAGGAGTGACTCAGGACCACGTGTGGGATAGAGCAGCATGGCATAAAATGCCATCCTTGCTGCACTTCAGAGGAGCTGGGATGTGTAAATCCTTGGTTCAGGGGACAGCTGTGAGCAGGGACTTGATTGTAACTCCCATGGGTGACTCTGGAGTCACCCCTGGATGGAGAGGGCTCACTGCAGGCAGGAGCTGGGTGAGTGATGCCAAAGGCAGGCAGACATGCCCCATGTGTGGCAGTGCCACTTCTTGGTCTCCCTCAGCTTGCACTGACCATGCCCTGGGTTAAACATCCTCCTGCCCCCCGTGTGAGGGTGTAGCATCTCTTTCCTCTGTGTTTCTCATGCAGGATCCAGAGATTACCACTTTCCATGCTCGAGGTGCTTCATCTTTCACTCATTTCCATTGGGATTTGGCTTCTTTCTGATCCAAACCACCTCAAGTTCCAATTGTTTCCTCTCCCAGAGCAGGGTGGTGCCTTCACTTGTGTGTCCCTCCCTTCCCTGGCAGCTGCACCCCTTTGCTCTGCAGCTGCTGGAGGTGCTGCAGTTCAGTCTGAGTGTGGCCAGGAGCAAACCTGCAGGCTGGAAATCACAGGGGAGCAAAGCCCTGCAGCCCTCCCTGTCCTGAGATGGGGTTGGCTGCTGGTGGCCAGTGGTGCTGAGCCTGTCCCCAACCCAGCAGTGCCCTTCAGGACTGTGCTGTGCTCAGGGTGACATCCTGCCATCCCCCTGAGCACTTGGAGTGCTCTACACAACCCTCACCCAGCCACGAGCTCGCTCTGCTTCTGGGGTAGGAGCTGAGAGATTCCCTGCAGTGAATCCTCCCTCCAGCCCTGTCCCCTTTTTTACTGACCTGCATCGATCCAGACAGTTTTTTTGGTGCTGATGTGCCCTCAAGTCGTGCCCTTCCCACGCTGAATCCGAGCTGGCATCCTTCAGGGTACCTCAAAGATCTCCAGAGTGAAATAACTGTTTCACCACTGCCATGGTCCTTGCTCTGTTCATGGATCTTTGTTCCAGCAATGGGTTGTTTTTTTTTTTACATGTACAGCAACTTAAAACACCCCAATTGGGTTTTTTTTCCCAGCTTTTTAGGAGAAGTTAAGAAAATACAAAACTGATCCTTTCTGTAAGCCCGGGAGAACTGTGGCTTCCACTTTGGGTCGTTTTTATTTCGTGGGAACATCCAAAAAAATCATGTACAGTTTGGTCCTTTGAAGCTCAGACTCACTGCTGAAGTACATGAAGTTAAAGCAAAATGTAAATACTGATGCAGAAAGCAGTGTCTTGCAAGACAATTTATCTATTTAACATGTATTGGTACTTTATTTAGATTCAATGTATAAAGCAACTTTGTGCACTTTTCCTACATTACAGTATTGGGGGGTTTTATGTTCTTTTGTTATGGGTTTTGTGCTGTCTTTTTTAATCAGTGAAATTGTTAAGTATTTAATTTATTATTGATGTGCCCAGAGGACTAGTGCAATTTTTATTCAATACAGTTGGTCTGTATTTAATGTCAGGATTTTTTTTTGTAGCATTGTTAGGGAATATTTTTCAAAACCTGCCTTTTTTCCCCCCCTCTCCCCCCACAATTCTCCTTTCTTTTCCCCCTCCCCTTCCTCCCCTTTCTCTTTTGTTTTCATTATACAGATCATGAGGCATTAAATGCTTCAAATTCTAAATATAAACCCAACACTCGAGTACATCCCGCAGTTTCCAAAACAAAATTAAGTTCTCCAGGAAAAAAAAAACATGCTAAGGAGGCACTTCTCAATGTTTTCTGTGTTTCTTTGATTTGGTTTTTATTTTTTTTTGGCTTGGGGAGTGTGTGTGTGTGTGTGTGTGCCTTTCCAAGTTTGCAGGGGAGAGTGGGGAAGCTGGACAGAAAATTTTGCTTTCAGCGAAGGAAACAGCTCACCAGGCTCCAGGGAAACCAGAAATCCAATATTTTCTCCTTTCCCTGCTTCCAGTACAGCTGGATTTGTGTTGTTTTGAGCTGTCTCAATGCCAGAATTGCTCTTTTTTTCCCCCACTCTTGTTTCTTTTCAAAGAGGGCAGGTTTGTTTTCTCTCTCTGACGGTGACTTGGTTGCAACCACAGATAAACATGAGGAGATTTGCCTTTGTCTAGAAAGCAACGTGCCAGGCATTGCCCAAACCATCACATGGATCCTTCATCCTTTGAGTTTTTGACCATCTGGGTGAATATTTCTCTACCTGTCCTCGCTTTTCTCTGACCCAACCCTTTAACCAAGTGCCTGGACAGGTAGGTTTGAATCTTTGGGGTCTTGCCACACACGTCCCTGATTCCAGGTGGGATGAGTTCAGGGTTGCTGGCAAGTAGAAATGATCCCCTCTGTGTTCCCTCTCATCCAGGGAAGCCTCAGGTTATTTTAATTTTGCTGGCTCTGAGATGGTCCCTGCAGTGGGGGACTGAGGGGGAAAAAAATGGAATTGGAAGAATTTAAAGGCATTTAAAGAATGTCTTTAACAAAAAAAAAAGGATAGGAGAAGCTGAGGCTGTGATGAGTGTAAAATAAAATCACTGAGGTTGGAAGAGACCTCTGAGATCATCGAGTGGATGATCCTGCAGGTTTGAAGAGAGAGATGAACAGATGATTTTTTGAAGAACTAGATCAGTAAACATCTCAGAGCAGCAAAACTGGCCGTTATTTATGCAAGAAAAAACCCCCAGGACCTCCTAACGAAATGCACTGATGAACTCCCTGTCCAGTGGCCACGACGTGGCTGGTCCCTGCCAGGCCCCTGGGCTGTCCCCAGCCCACGTGTCCCCTCACTGCCCGAGCATTCTTGCTTTCAACCAAAGACAAAAACAGGCTGAAAGGTGACATTCAACCGTGGCTTAGCTGGTGACAAACATCCCTGTGAAATGTGTGTGAGTGTGGTGCTGTCACATGGAGAGGGGGGGGGCGTGGGAAGGAGGGACTGAGCAGCAGAAGGGAGAGGGGGAGTTCTGGACAAACACGTTTTTGGGGTGATTTTTTTTTTTTTTTTTTTGAGATTCCAAAATACAGGAGCACTGTTTCCATAGGAACAGGGCTCACAGCAGTCTGCCTGCTGGGAATTTGGGCTGGGGTTACACCCTGCTGGGAATTTGGGCTGGGGTCACACCTGTCCTGAGCTGTGCTGGTGCGAAGACGGGGCAGAGAATGGTTGTGGGGAGGGAACGAGGAGCCAAAGGGTTGGAGCCAAGGGAATTCCCAAGGCACGAGGAGGACCACGAGTGCTCCCAGTGCAGCAGTTGGGATGGACAGAGAGGATTTCTGGAGCAGGAGCATTTGCTCCACAAACCCAGCACTGAGAACCTTCCTCCCCCCAGGGGCCAGGACAGAGCACGTTTGGGTTCCAAGTCCTCCTGCTCCCGTAGGTGACCCTTGGGAGTGACCTCTGGTGTCCCTCAGATTGTCCATGGCTCTGTGGACCTTTTAGTTGACTTCCACCCATCCCACAGCACGCAGTGTTGGTGTGGATTCCCTACCCTGGGGGTGCTGGATCCCGGGAATTGCTCCAGCCTTTCCTTCCGCAGGGTCGCCCTCCTGGCAGCCCCTTCCTGGGGCTCCCAAACCTTCCTCTCCAAACAGCACAGGGACAAAGGAGTCCTGTAGGGACAAAGGAGTCCTGTAGCCAGGCCAGAGCTGCTCAGAGTGGTTGGTGGCCCCGGGGCTGTGCCACTTGCTGTAAATAAAGCTGTAACCTTATTAACCTCCTCCCTTCACTTGCCTGCTTTCGGTACAACTTTGTAACAGGTTTTTTAATCCCCCCCCCTTTCCCTTCACAGCCTGTACTGAACTGTAACCATGGAACCAGATATTCTCTATGTTATTATCTTTGTACAATTTTAAAACTGTTGCTGTGGTGTCTGCCTTTTTTCCCCTCTTCCTCCCTTCCCTTCTCTTCTATGGTCTCTTGAAGCACTGTCAATAAAAATCTAGATAAACTCCTTCCCTCCTCCTCCTTTGCTTGATTTATTGATGTAGGGTTTCTTGCCTTGCTGCCTGTATTAACTGGAGCTGAAAAACCCCCTTTTAACCTGTTTCCCTTTCCCTCTGCAGCCCACAGGCTGAGCTGAGTGGCAGCTGAGTACCCTGGAATGCCACACGAATACTCTGCATTTCTGGTTTGGGTTTCTGTGACTCCTGTCTTGTGAGGATGGGATTTCAGGCTGCTTTGGGGTAAAGGTTGATAGGGCTCAGGTCACCCCCTTACCCCAACCCACCCACTGGTGCCTCTTGAATTCCTGAATCAGTTAATCCTTGATCCTGGCTCTGTCCCAGGAGACCTTGCACTCCATGGAAATCTCCCTTCTGCACATGGACCACCCTTTCCCCCCACCTTGGGCTCTCCCATCCCGTGTGTCTGTGGCAGAAAACAATAAAATAAGAAGGAGAAAAGACAAGACTGGCCTGGCCTCGTGATTTCTGTCCTGCCCAGTGTGGAAAACAAATAGAGAAAGGGAAATTGTGGAATAAATTCTGTTTTCCTCTGGAGGGACAAATAGATCCCAATTAATGAATCCTGATAGAGTCATTAACTCAGTGGAGGAGTTAAATAGGAGCATTACAGTAATTTTTAAGGCATTTATGGAAGGAGAGCTGTGTGATATTCCAGTAAATTTATAAGCACGGGGTTTGGGAGACACTTGGCTTGCTCCCACCCTCTCACTGACTCCCACTGCCCCTCCCTGGCTGTTTCCTGGCTGAAAAACCTCACACAACTTCCCAAGGATAAACACACTGAAGACTGAAACGTGACTGCAGAAACCCAGCTCTCCAAAAGACTCTTTTCCTTTAGTTAATGAGGATTAAATGCTAGTCTGAGACTAGGACTTTGCCACAGCAGGAGGGTTCTTGTCACTGGGGTTTTAGCTCAGTGGTGCCAGGACAAATGTTTTACTGGTGATCTCACAAGGGATATATTCATGATTTTATCAGCATGATCAGCTCCTGACAGCAGCTCTCTGTCCTGCTGCCTGTGGGTGACAGTGACACTGTTTGCCTGTGTCAAACAAGGGCCACAGGAGCTCTGTGTGACAGACTAAAGATCTTCACTGAATACCTGGGATCCTTCACTTATCTCTCCCCCTGTGGCTACGTGGGTTCACCCCCAGGTAAAAATGAGCTCAGCAGCTCCAAAATTGCCTCAGAACGGTCAAGCAGCAGCTGGAGAAGCAAAGATGTCACTGCTGGGATGCTGGTGCCTAATTACCCCCAGAATTGCAGCATAAAAACCAGTCCTGCACAGGGAGATTTGTCGTGGAATCGTCACTGGGACACCTGAACTCTGTGGCTTTGCTGTCCCAGAGGGCTGTTATTATCTGCTGGTGCCCTTCAGCAGCTTGTTCTGCTCCAGCAACGAGCTCTGAGGGCCAGCAGAGCCCAGTCTGGCACTGGAGCAGGGAGCTGGCACTGGATTTATTCACAGTCATGTGAATAAATATGTGATTTGAATATGTCATTTGAAGAAAATGTGCTCATGTGATTCTGAGCACAACCGACCCCCTTTGGGGACCTTGATTTTTTGGAAAAGCCCAGCTCAGGTGTGAGAGCTCCACATATTTCAGGGCTGACATCACAGGCACGGAGAATGACCCCAGTGCAGAATTTGGGAGGTGATTTCCCAACTGCAGCAGGGCTGAGGGATGTTCTGTAATAAAGAGGAACCTGCTAAGCTGAAAATTGGTCCCCACCCTCAGCAGAGAGTGAGCTGAGCTCCCTCCACACCTGATCCCTGTCCCTGGGCTCCCACAGAAACCATTGGATCCTACTAAAGGTGGCACCAGCAGGTGGGAAGCAGATTTTCCCCATCCCTGTCTTCTGTGTTGCCACATCCCTCCTGTGCCAAATCTGACCACGAGACAAGATGTCACCACTTGATCTCTGGTCCTGCTGGGACCTTTGGACAGAGGATTTGATCCCTTCTCCCAAACTTGGCTCCTTCTGGAAATTATGTTACAAGGTGCAGTGATTTTTTCTAATGCCTTGAGAGCAGTATTAAGCAAATCAAGCAAAACTGAGGCTTTCAAAACCATGTTGGTGCTTGGCTGGCAGGATTCCATCTCCCTGTCTGGAAGCAAAACTCTTCCCCTGATTTGGCCCTTACAAATTTAAGTTTCTGGACCTTTTGAAGAAGATGTTTCCAGAGCCAAGACTTAGAAATAACAATTAAGCAACAAGGACCCCAAATATCAACCAAAGGCAAAACAAAGTCAAACTAAACCCCCAGTTTGTCACAGTCTGTAGTCAGAGCATTTTATTCTCTAAAAAAAGTTACAAAACAAAGCTCGTGGATTTCTTGTTAACTCTCATTTTCTGCATAAAGTCATAAACGAAGTTATAACAGAGTAAAATGCTCCTGTGCAAATGTCAGCATCAAAAATAAACGTGTTATTTTTATGTACATATAAGTTACTGTCAAATATTAACATGAAACCATCTCTGTTTATAAATGGACTGCAACAAAAACGCAGCACTGTTTAATCTTCTACAGAAATCAGATGCTTTTTCACTTGAAAAAGGTATCAACCCCATTTCTTCTCTTCCTTTGCCCTCTGAGGGAGAGCCAGTCTCGTTTGAAATCGTCTGGGGTGAGTCTAAAAGCATCTCAGCAGCAGCATCCTGTGCCTTGGCCTCAAAATGCAACAGGAACAGGCTCAGGACAAGAGATGTCTTGGAAGCCAAGCTGGAATCAGAGCCTGTTATGAGCTCTGTCATCCTCATGACAACCCTGGATGTGAATCATGGAATCATGGAATGGTTTGGGTTGGAAGGGGCCTCAAAGCTCATCTCCTTCCAACACCCTGCCACGGGCAGGGGCACCTTCCACTGGACCAGGCAATCCTTGGCCTCCATTGGAATTCCTTCCATGAACAGCCAGGCTGGAGCACGTCTGTGAAATGTAGATGGGCCTGCCTGAAGCCACAGGCTGATTTCCTCACAGGGGTTCATAAATGAAGAGCTGTGAACAGGCTTTTGTGAGGGAACTCAAGGACTGTCCCAAGAGCAGAAGTGCAGCTCTGCCCTCCCCAGAGGCTCCTCAGGATCCACTAACCCTGGCTCCAGGACACATGGATGCGTTAGCAGGGAACCTGCAGCAGCTGGAGGAGGATTTCCAGGCTCAGGGAGCTGTGGAGGTGCTCCCAGGCCGTGGATCCAGGACGTCTCTGTTTGGCACCTTCCTGGCAGCAGCAGAGGAGTTCCCAATCTCCCACTTCTCCAGGCACACAGACACCCCCTCAGCTCTTCAGTTCCCCTCCCAAACTGCTGTCCTGTGTGTCCCTAAACCCCCCCAGCACCACCTCAGGGCAGCTCTCAGCCATTCCCACCTTGCTGGAGGGAGGGTGAAGGTGCAGGTCCCCACTGCTGGCCCTGGCAACAGCCACCCCAGAGGGGGGACCCTGAGCAGAATCCTCCCCTTTCCCAGCCTCTTCCTGCACAACTCTGTAGTTCTCCAGGGCCAGGCTCACGCTGGGGACAGTGGCAGTGTGAGCCACTCTCAGGGTCTTCTTGGACCTGAGCCTTTGGTAGCAGAAGAGGAGAGACAGGACCAGGGTGTCGATGAGCAGCTCGAACATCTCAACCACAGACAGCACTGAGGAGCCAAACCAGAGGCTCCACTGGCTCCCCATGCTGGACAGCAGCAGATTCTCCTGTGGGAAGAGTCACAGGGTTGTGTTTATCAACCTGGGAAGAGGAAATCTTTGCCCATTGCCAGCAGGTCAGTTCGGTGCTGCCATCCGGGGAGGGAATTAGGTGTAAAATGGGGAAAAACTCCAAGTCTCTTCCCTAAGGGGAATATTCCCATGCTAGCAGCTGTAAATAACCCTCCCTCCAGCCATCCTGACACCCCAAAACTAAGGACAGGACACAGGGTTTGGAGCTGACAGGGTGGAACCTACTGAGAGCAGAGGAGACTCGTTCACAGACTGGTAGTTGAGCTGCTGGTAGAAGATGGTCACCTTGGCAATGTCCCTCCTGGATGGGAGAGAGGGAGCAGTCAGGAAGGCTGGGACATCACCTGGCATTCACCTGCTGGTTTGACTTGCTGATTCCCAGGCAAGAGAGGTGTCCCCACACCCACAAACCTTCCTCCTGAGGGAGTTCAACATGGAAAAAGCTCCCGGGAGTCAACAGCTCACAGCGTTGTGAGGAGAGACTGGAAGTTTATTTTTTCTCTGGTCCTCCCTTTCCAGCCTTAACATCTACAAATTCTGGGAGGGTGAAGAGTTAAGCCAGAGTTTTTAACAGGGACTAACCTGTTGCTGGTGGAGTTGTATCCATTCTGGTGCCTCAGAGCCTGGCGGACCCAGTCCTGCAGCAAAGATGGGTGTTAGTGGCACTCCTGCCTATGGAGCTTTTCTGTGTTTTCTATGTAGATTTTTAGCAATCAAATGGCTATGAAAAATACTAAAAAATGATGCAATTGGCTGATTTATAACACACAGTGATAGCTATCAAGCACCAGCCACATTTGCCAGAATATCAAGGAAATACACGCTGATGTTTTAGGTGTGTAAAACATTCTGGTTCACTATTCTGCCTTTGATGGGCAACCCCACCAGATAATTTCCTCTTTTAAAATGCACTGGTTGATTTTACACCTCCATTATCACCTACAGGGATTAATGACCTGGCCATTTGCCATCAGAACATGAGAAACAGTCCCCTGCTGACTCACAGAGGCTCCAGTGCACCTGAGTTGTCACCCCACAACTCCCACTGGGAGCATTGTCATTAACCCCACTTTGGAGGTGGGAACTGAGGCAGGGAGGTTGCTTAAGGTCACAGGGAAGTTTGGGATAGATCAGGGATTGGCTGAACCTCTGCAGCATCTGAGTCTGGCAGCTTGGAGCACCCTGGGCTGGTGGAAGGTGCCCCTTCCCACAGCAGGGGGTGGAATCAAGTGATCCTTAAGGTTCCTTCCAACCCAAACCACTCGAGGATTATATTATTTAATTTAACTACAAGGTCACTCCCAGACTTTGGACCAGTTTGCTTTGTTTGCTGCCACCCAAGTCGTTGTTTCCACCCTTAATTTTACTGTTCAACAGCCACAGTAAGGGCAGAATCCCCCCAAAACTCACAGGGGCAGTACCTGAGATTTTGCTGATGGCCACTTTGCTGTCCCAGCAGACACCTTGTACAGGGATTCCCTGGGGAGATAAAAGAGAAGATTATGATCACAATGACTCCTGCCACGAAGGAGTTTAACAATCCCAACTAGTGCCCAAAGCAGAAGTTCCTGGGAAAGCTCTTGAGGTCCTTGGAAAAAGCTCTCTAAGTCAGCTTAGAAAATAAAACCAGAGGCTGCCTGAAAAACTGTTCAGGTCAGGAGGAAAACTAGAATGGTTTCAAAAGGCTGGTAGCTTTTCTTTGATAGGTTCAAAATGAAAATATTTTGCTTTAAAACACATCTTTCCATTTTGAAACTGACCCCCAATAAAAAAGGTGAAAAATAAAGTGATAAAGGTTGAGAAATGACACAAAATAGCTTGGCTTGGGCTTTAATAAAACACTGTAGTGTGATTAAAACTATTTCTTCCCCTCCTTGCTGTCAGGGACATGCAAAGTTCTTATTTAATTTGCCTAATGCCATCTTTTCCCTTTCCCAGCACTGGGGTTCAAACATCACACTGAAACCTCTCTGGCTGAGGAAAAGCCAGTTGATGCAGAAATTTTCCACTCAGTTGCCCCCAGTCACTGGTGGGATTTCCCCCTCCAAGCTGGCATTTCTGAGCTCTGTTTTTGGGACCCACCTGCAGGGTTTGGGGCACTGGTCGAAGCAGTTCAGGTGGTGATTTCTGAGCCTGTTGTAGAGCTGGTAAAAGCAGTGCCCTGGGGAAAGGAATGGAAGGGACACACTCTCAGATGCTTCCTCTCCCTTTGGAATGGTTCCAGAGGAGGATCCTCACCCCCTGGAAGTGCAGGTGAGGATCTGCTGAGGGTGGGCCACCAGGAAACCAGGAGGGTCCATTCAAAGCTTTGTCTCAGAATCATGGAATCACAGAGGTCTGGGTTGGAAGAGATACATTCCACTATCCCAGGTTGCTCCAACCTGGCCTTGGACACTCCCAGGGATTTGGGGCAGCCACAGCTTTTCTGGGCAACCTGTGCCAGGGCCTCCCCACCCTCCCAGGGAAGAGTTTCATCCATGTATTTCTCACAGCCACCAGTGTTGAGAAGATGAAGGAGTTTGACCCCCTATGAATGTCCTTAATAAAGGAGTTTTTATCACCAGCTTGATATCCATGAATAACCAGCCAGGTGCCTGTCACCCACTGGATTCAGGGATTCAGGGAGCATTTGGACAATGCTCTCAGGCACGTGGTGGGAGTGTTGGGATGTGCTGTGCAGGGCCAGGAGCTGGAGTGGATGATCCTTGTGGGTCCCCCCTGTGATTCCATGAGTCCATCTAAGCAGGAGGGATCCAAGGAGTCCCAAAACCAGGGAGTGCTGCAGGAGGGTGTTCCCTTCTCCAAGGGGGACAAGCCAGCAGTCCCTGGCTCTTACCCCACGCTGGCTGCTTGTTGTAGTCACAGTACTCAGCCCCAGGGGGCAGGGGGTAGTAGTAATAGCCACAGCCACACTTCTGAACCATGATGTGCTGGAAGCAGGAATGCAAACAAGCCTGGAAAATAAAGAAGGCCAAAAAGAGGTCGGATAAGCCGGGAATTCTCAGGTGCCCAAATCTCCAGCAGGGAGGATGCAGCTCTCAGGAGACAAGGTCCAGGTTTTGTTAGTGCAAAAAGACACCCTGCCACGATGATGTGGAAGGTTTCACTTCTCATTCCTTGATTTTACGTTCTGGGAGACAGAATCTTCCCAACTCTCTTGTTCATTATGCCCAGAAACGTCTGAGTTAAACAGCCCGTAAAAACTCGAGCCAGGAGCAACTACTGACACAAACAAAGACCTGATGGCCCAAGAACATCCCACCAGAGCAGCAGGATGGCCTTGATTGGCCTGATCTCCCTCGTGTCAGAAGAAGGGAACAGCCCCAGTGTTTGGCTCTGATTATCCCTCCCTCAGTCAAACACATTCCAAGTGATAACACCCTGGTTGGGAGCTCCTTTTGGAGGGGCAGGAACCTCTGTTCTCTCCAGCAGTGAAGCTGCTGACTCAGAGGAGCTCTCTGGAGAGGGAGGGATGAGCTGTGTGTGCTCAGCTGGGGCTCAGCCAGCACTCCCACAGTACCTGCAGGGTGTAGGAGTTGTTGTACAGCAGCTTCACATCCACATCATCCCCATTAGTTGTGCACTTCCCATAATTGCCACCCAGGCGATTCACCTCATCCTGTGGACACACAAAAGAGTGATTAGCAGTGTTAATTGGGCACAGCCATCACCACCTAAACCTCACTGCAGGGAGCAGGACAGCACAGGATGTCCAGTGAGGTATAAGAGCAGCAGAGCTACACTTTGATGAAAAATATAAAGTATCAGGGCAGAAGTGGGAGAGTTCAGTCATAGAATCACAGAATATCCTGAGCTGGACACACAAAGGTCATCCAGTCCAACTGCTGGCCCTGCACAGACACCCCAACAATCCCACCCTGTCCCTCAGAGCATTGTCCAAACCCTCCTGGAGCTCTGGCAGCCTTGGGGCTGTGCCCACTGCCCTGGGGAGCCTGGGCAGTGCCAACCACCCTCTGGGGGAAGAACCTTTCCCTGATACCCAACCCAAATCTCCCCTGATTTAGTATTTAGCCACTGTGGTTCAGCTGACAGGCAGCAACTTCTCCTGTCCAAAAAAACCAAATCACTTCCGAAAGTTCTCATCCCAATATTGCACCAGGTGCAGAGCTGGAATGGGACTGAAGAGGTGTAAAAGCCTCGGTGTATAAAACACATCAGGCCCCAGTTTGAGGACAAAAAAAGGCCACATTTGGAATAATTTTTGTGTTACCTGTGGGAGCCTGAGCACAGCAAAGAGAGAAAAGGGGGTTGTGTCAATAAATATACACTGAGGCAAGGAGTGGACACATGTGGGTCAGGGGGTGCCAGCCCCTCACAATTCCCAAAAAAAAGGAGGAACAAAGCTCTGGAGCCAGTGGCCAACCTGCTGGATGCCAATGGTGGTGGCAATGCCTGGTCTGATGTCAAAGCCTTCGTGCTCAAGGAAGGGGGTCTGGTTGTGGTTGTGGATCATCACCTTCACTCCCGCCACCGTGGACAGCAGCGGGATGTGATCCTTCTGCTCCGCCCTCAGGATCAGGGAAAGGCCTGCAAGCCAAGGAAAGGGAGCACATCACAGCCTGGTCTGGGCCCAGAGAACACCACCAGCACATCTGGAATTCTCAGCACTGATCCAATTGCTGTCTTAGCTGGCAGAAGAGCCATCCTTTGTCCTTAGAGACCTGGATGGGGGTCAGGTAGAATTGCACCAGCCTGTTCCAAAACTGCCCTAATACCATAAAATACTGCAATAATACCATAAAATACTGCAATAATGCCATCACATGCTGCAAAATAATACAACATACTGCAACAATGACTGTAATAACACTCTGCAAACAAAGATAACATTTTGCTTGCTGTAAGTTAGGGCTGATATCACTTAGGCAAAGAATTTGTGCCACCAGACCAGAGGAGAGGGCTAAATACATCAGAATAGAAGACATATTAATCCATGGCCAAATTATATTAACTTTAACTCTTTTCCCCCACCCAAATAACATACCATAAGGAATTCCTGGTTTTGTAGCTGTCCAAAAAGGGTCTGTCCCCTTGCTGTTAAAAGTGTAGCAGCTCCCAAAGACAGGGTGGTGAAAGTGGACATAGTCACTGGAACGAAGAGAGGTGTTGATGGGGTTTAATTAATTATTTAACAACATTACCATTGTGTAGGATGTGTTTTGTTCGTGTGTGTGAAGGGACAGGAGGGAATATGGGAAGGGAAATCCCAGTTATGCCCCACCTGGGTCTGCAGGGCTCCCCATCATACTGGCAGGAGTAGACCATGTCTTCTATTTGCTCCTCGTGGTCAGAAATGTTGATTATAACTGGCAGCTGGGACATGATATTCATGTAGTGGAACCTGTACCACTCAAGGATTGCATCCATCCCCGAGGAATAGGTCTTGTAGAAGCAATTCCCACCCGTGGCATTGCACTGGGAGAAGGGAAAGGAAAGAAATATTCAGCACAGCCAGCACGTGACACCCTAAGATCACAGGGAAAAGGCAATATTGGATACAGGGATAAAGGGAAACTCTGTTTTTTCTCAGAGGGTGAAGTCTGTGATGATTTGAGTTCTCCCAGAATGGCTGAGGTTGGAAGGAACCTCTGGAAGCATCTTGTGTTGTGTGAGCAGCTTCTCTCCCTGGAGCTGCATCAGGTGAGCTCAGGGCAAGAGGCAGGAGGAGGGAGCAGAGAAATGAACTCCAGAACCTTGGGAGAAGGAATGACAGGGCTGCTGGGAATTCTCTACAGCCCATGAATCATGAACAGAGCCCTGGGACACTTTCTCCGGTCTTACTCAGGCCTCAGCCAGGTGAACACCCACAGGTTCTGGGGAAAGTCTGCCTGGTGCAGGACTCCAGCACAGGGTAGGATTAGGATAATCAGGCAAAAACTGCTGGTCTTCCCAGCCACATCAATTCAAGCTTCTATTCCTGGATCTACACTAACCCAGGTTTGGATAGGAAGAATCTGAAGGATTTGTGTCTTCTCCCAAGGCCACAGACAAACATTTATTGTATCCACCCTCTGGATTTCTTACTGCTGGATTTTGTTTGATCTGCAGCATTTCCAGTAGCACAGCACTGAGAACTGAGGGATCCTGCATGTTGTTGTTCTGTTATTTCTAGCATCACCTGCTAAACCTTTATTTTTGTAAATCTGTACTTTTGTGTACTTTTAGAAAGGGGTGCAGTGATTCCCACAGCCTGTTCCTACCATTCCCTGAGGAGCTTGTCAAGCTGGGCTGGGTCAATTCACTGATGTTGTTGCTGTTTTTTCACTTCACAACAACCCTCACAATCAGCATGAACTGATGGACAGGGATGGACTGAGGCAGGGATGGATAAACTGAGGCAGGGGAAAAAAACTCCCATCCTCCAATCTGTCTGAAACGATTTTTTCACTCTTTTTTTTAGTTTTGAATGTGCCTTGTGAGATCTTTAATGGCCCTGAAAAGCCTCACTTGGGGCTTCCACCCACCCCCTCTGCCCCGGGTCTATTTAAGCCTGGCTTGGGGCAGGGTTTAACCTCTCTTAGGCTGTGGTGCAGGGCTTTGCTGGGCTCCTGCCCCACTCTGGACCCTGTTGATGCCTAAATTTCACATCCTGAGTTTAAACCTGCCTCACCACCAGGAACTTCCCTGCTGAGCTGGACTCTAGGTTGGACCTGGATGCCCCCTGTGAGTTTTCCCTGCTTGTTTTTCCTCACTTGTTTTGGGGTGGGCCCCCAAACTGCCCTGCTGGAGGACTCCCCCCTCTCCCCCTGACCCTGGGGGAGCAGCAGGTCCTGCTGTCTGTGTCTGGAGCCAGGTTTAGCCTCGAGGAGGACACACTCACCAGCCTGAAGCCCACACTGGAATATTTCTTCCCTGACCTCAGGTCAGTCGTTCTCAGGAGGGAGAAGTTTTGGCTCAGCTTGAAGCTCGACCTGCTGAGGTTCCCCATGCTGGACAAGTCCTTGACACGGATATTCCCATCATTCATGTGGAATAACCTGGCTGAGGTGTTGATGCCATACAGGAAGGTGATGGATTCTGCTGCCATTCGATCCAGCTGCACCAAGTGCTCACTGACCAGCTCAAACCTGCCAGGAGCACAGTTAGCAGCTCTTTGTGAATATTCACATTTCTCTTAGACTAAAGCACTGGATTTTATGTGCTCTCAGCACCTCTGGAAGGGCTACTCTGGTCCCTGCAGAGCTTCATGTCTGTGTGAGAATATCCAGCAGTTATGGTGCCTGTGCTTAGCACACCAATAAATTAATTTATCAGGAGCTCCAGGAGCTGAATTTCCAGTTGTTGGATCCTCCACTGCAAAGCTCAGAACTTGAGCTGCACAAACTGGCCTTCCTGTCAGCCACCTAACTAATTATTCCAAGGAAATTACATAATTCCTTCACTATGTAATGTGAAACTTCTTGATAACTTGGCCACTGCTGTGTGAGCCTTGCCTGACAAGCAGAGCCACACAGACTTCCACACAAATTGTACTTTTGCCTTATTTACTCCATTCTTTCCATTTCTGTGGAGTGAAAAATGAGGAGGCTCAGCTTTGGCACACGTTATTCCAGACATCAGGAGTTTAGTTAGGAAGGAACAGGCACAGTTTTTCAGGGAAAGGCTGTTTTTATCAGAGCACAACATCAGCCAGCAGCTCACAGCCAGGCAGAGTTCCCTCTATCCTGAGTCAGCGGATGGAATTAACTGCTACACAATTCCCAACAAGATCTTATCCGGCTCTTGCACAATTCCCGACAAGATCTTATCTGAAAACCAGTTTGGAAATAACAACAGTCCCTTTCCACCTCCCCTGAGTGAGGCAGAGACCTCCCTCTCCCCCCTGGGATGCAGTTTGGGGGTCCCTGACCCTTCCTGACCGCCCAGAGGAAAGCCCAGGATACCTGTAGGGATCCAGGTTGCAGATGGTGATTGCTGGGAACATCTTGGGCTCCGAGTGCATGGACATGGTCAGGACCACGGGGTAGGCCCAGTACTGGCTGAACATGAGGGCAAACTGCCAGTAGAGCATCCCAAAGCTGGCCAGGAGCAGCAGGGTCCAGAAGGCCGTTTTCATCCTGTTGCTGCCGGAGCACACGAGGCGGATGGTGCCGTGGATGGTCGTGTTCTTGCAGAAGAACTCAAACATGTCCTTGAAGGAGTCATAGAACTCGATCAAACCTTCCTCCTTCCCTTCTTCCCTCGCCACTCCCTGCTCCATCCTCTACGTGTCTTTCTGTGAAAGAAGAAAACACAGAGAACGACCACAACTCATCTGTGGATTCTTCCAAACGGGGAGTTTGTTGTTGGAAAAATCTGGTAGTAAGTGTGGGCAGAGACACCAGGAATTAGCAAAGAGGTCAAGCCCTCTGTGTGCTGCTGGTGAAGAAATGGAGGTGTTTGACCACACTGACAAATGACTTCTCTGTCAGTGTGGACATGCAAAGCCAAGGTGACTAATGCACACCCTGCTCAGGAGTCTGCAGCCAAAGGGGTGGCTTGTTTTCTTCTTTCTAAGAACTAATAGTTAATTCTGGAGTGTCATCCCACTGTGTGTTCACACAGATCTGAAGTTCATTGCCACGAGTGGAATATTGTGGGCCTGGCTCAGAACCAGCCACGTGCCTTCATCCTCGTGCCAAGGAATTGGGATAAACCCACTTTTCAAGTGAGCACAAAGGGCGGATTAGAATCTGGTTCTTATTTTTTGCCCTGTGTGATCACTCATCCTGCAGAATAATCAGGATTCATTTCTGCCACCCCTGAAATCTCTTCCAAGATGAACCAGAGTAGTTCAGAGTTCAGATTCTGGTACTTAGGAAAGAAAGTGGAGAAAAACACCACCTCAGCTGAAACCACAGAGGGGATGAACCAAATCAGGATGTGGGCAAAGCATGGCAGATACTACTTGAAATAAAATGCTCTGGGGTTCTTTCTGAAGATATTACTGCTATTAACAGCTATTTTGCCACTTATCTGTTTCATAAGTATCTTCTTCAGGCATCTAAAAATCTTCTCTCCTTTTTACAGGAGGGAAAAGGAAGCATAGAAATGGAAAATCACCCAGAAGAGTGGCAGAACTATAAATCCACCTTTCCTTTGTCCCAGTAAGTAAAACATTTCCTGTGCTATTGCAGAGAATTTCAGCCTTTGTGTTGAACGTTATTTCTGCTCCCAAGTTTTAGTCTGAGGGCACCTCCATGGGTTCTAGTGCCAGCTGGGGACACTGGTGACAGACTTCCACTGGCTGAACATGACACCAGGTTCTGTAAGGTGTGAGTTCCCAACATTACAGCACTCTGTGAATCACCTGCCTATTATGCTATTAACAAAAGTTTACTGAGGACAACACTTTGCTCCAACCTTAGCTCCAAATAAAAACCTTAAAAACACAGGAACAAAATCTGAAGACAAGGAGGGCACAAATAACTGAAGAATTGCTGTGGTGAGATGAAAACTCAGACTCCTCATCCATCTCACTCCTCAGCCTTGCTCTCATGAGAAAAAGCAGAATGAAAGGCCATAGTTACCCAAAGTGAATGCTAAAAGAATCTATCAAACATGTTTTTTGATGTATAATTTGAAATCTAAAAAAAATCCAGCTCTGAAGAGTCAAACCCCGGCTTTCAGAGACAGCTCACAGTTTTCAGACCTTCTGCCTGGGCTTTTAAAGCCATGGCTAGTTCAGCCCAATCAAATCTGCATTCTTAAAAATAACTGGAATGAAAAAACCCCACATGATAATGCAAAAGAACCCAGAGGGAATCTTTCAGAACACACGTGTGTATGGGCAGCAGCACAATTCCCTCCACCACTAAATTAGCCCACCACTGATTTATTAAACACAACAATTGGGATTTAACAAAACCAGCTGCCTGTGGGAAGTGCCTGGAAAGGGCTGCAGGTTATAAAAAATCAATGGCAAACAAAAATATGCTCCTGGATCCTCACAGCAACTCAATGGTCGACACAGCAAACACAGATTAATTAATGCCATGGAGGCAAATATTTAACCACGTGCACAGGTAGCCAAGATCAAGCACAGATAGACAGAAATACACAGTAAAACAAGCAAATTACAACCCCCCCACTGTACCTTGGCAGAAATTCTATCTTTGAGTGTTTAGAGAAGCCACTAAACTCAGCCCTGGGCTTTATCCTGAGCAGAAGAAGACGAGTCCTGGTCCAAAGCTCCCCGATTTCTAAGTGAAGACACATTGGGAGCTGTCCAGCCTATATGGATCAAATTGATGACATCAAAAGGGGCAGGACTTAAGAAACAGATCATGGAAATTATTCAAAGCATGATCCAGGGAATAATAGGAAGTGAATAAACTGGACAAACAAGTTAACACGAAGGTTACGCTCGAGTTAAGGTTGGTTTGAGTGGTGGTGGTGTGTTCATCTTGGTTTTATTCCCCCCCCTCCCCAATCATTAGAATGGCTTTGTGGCCTTAATTCCTCCAAATATCCAAGGAAATAACCACCAGGTTCTTTCCACTCTGGACTTTCCCAGCAAGGAAGTAGCTTTCTGCCTTCTTTCCATGGTTTCCGGAGCCTTGCATGATGCCAAGGGGTAATTGGGAGCCATTAAAGGTTTCCACAGGTGTGCTTGAGGAATCACATACCTGAGTGTAATCGAAGTGATCACCCACTCAGCCCAAGGCACACGTGGCCATGGATTCCTTCCTGCTTCTCCAAGAACACTGCTCAGCCCTCGGGGGCTCTCCCATCCCTGCTCAGAAATTCCGTTTATTCCATGGGAACAGACTAAATCCACCACGATAATTTAAGTCAGAGCAGCCTGGTTTTGGAACACTGCTCAGCTAAGACTTGCAGAAGTGGATTCAGGAGTCTGGGAGAGCTCAAACACAAGCACCTTGGATTGTTTGCATGATTAATTCCGACACCTGACTGCAAGGAAACAGCTCTGCAAGGGGTGTTTGACAAGCTTGTGATAAGGAAATATTAATACTCTGGATAAAAGGAATGTTTAGAGCCCCAAATCAGCCCAGCAGAGCTCCTGCCTGCCGTCCAAATCCGTCTAGAACTGGATTTTCCCTCACGCTGGAAGTTGTGAAATACGACTGGAATTCCTTGTGAAATTGGACTCAATAAGAAGGGAGAGAGAGGAGAAAGATGAAGGGAAACACATTCCTCTGATTTGGGCTGATTTCAATCCTATTTACACTTTGGACAATGTAGATTTACTCAGGAGCTTAAATTAAAGATCCAGAAAGATGCCAGAGACCATCAGTCACAAAAAAAAATACCCCAAATCAGCAAAAGGGACAAGGATGGTGCTGTTTTAGAAAACCAAAGCATGTAGAATGTTCATCTCAAATTTTGAAATTATTATTCTGAAAGAGGTGAATCCTCTTAACCAACTGTTTTTACTGGGTTCTACCACCTTTATCTTTGGTATTAACAGGAAATGCCACAAAACATATTGGAACATGGTTTAGATTTTAGAAAAAGCCAGTATTTTTGGAGTGTAAAAACGACACTTTTGATTGAAAAAGAAATGCAGTTGGCTCCTGAATGAACAGCTACAGTCACTTGTCACTGGCTGATGAAGTAATTATTTAAATTCTCATTAAAAAAAAAACCTCAGGACACTGCAAACCTAATTCTGTCACGTCCATGCCTTCGTCCCCCACCCTTCCTTCTCTCCTCATTTTCTCTTGTGCAATAGAAAATGGCAACAATAAATCCTTGACAATGAGATTCTTGCACAACCAACAGACACAAGACAACTTCTGTTGCCTCATTATGGCTGCAGGCCCTGGTGCAGAGATTCTCTGGCAACACATCACAACAACCCCTTTCTGAGCCAGCCAGGGCTTTTTCCTGCAGGAAATGGGGAAGAACTGGATAAGCAGAGGACGTTTTCCCTCCAGCAAGACACCAGCTCTGCTGGCACCTGCTCCTCTGCCATCCTGGAGCCCCAACTGGGAGGAGAAAGGGGGGGAAAAGTCTTTCTCTGCTTAAAAACTCGGCGTTTCTTTCAAAATACAGATTATGGAGATAAGAGCCCTGAGAAAGTCCTTTGGGCTTGCACAAAGGCTGGGCTCTAATTATTCTGAGTAAGGCAGAAAATGTTTATTACTGCTTGGAGTAGTGGAGGGAGGGAAGGGAAGGAGTAAGTTCATTGTACGTCCTGTGCAGCAGCAGCAGCAGCAAAATGTCACTGGTTGAAAACACCCTCTGGACATGTTACACACAGAAAGATGCTTCCCACACTGAGGTTTTTTGATGGTTGGTATTAATTTAATTGTGGATATTAATGGGATATTGATATTCATGGAATATTGGTATTAATGGAATATTGGTTATAATGGAATATTGGTATTAATGGAATATTGGTATTCCAGTTAATTGAATGTTGGATATTAGTAATGGAATATTGATGCTCCTGTTGGTATTAATGGAATCATCCCCATTTAATTCACAAAGGTAAAGAAAATAAGGAATTTCTGTCATTTTGCTTGTGAGCTTGTCCGTGGCTTTCACACGTTGTAAGGACTGTCCAAAATCCACCCTTGGCCTCTGCCTCTCTACTAGCCCTTATTATTATATATATTATATAGGCTTATATGGATGATAATATGATTTCCACCTATTTGACAGGCTGCTAAAACAGAAATAAATATGTTGAATCCATGCCTGTCTCACACCAGCACAGCCCAGAGCAAGAGGAGAGGCCCAGAGTGTCCTGCAGGCAGAGAGGAGGCTTGAGCCACTTCACAAGGGCAAAATTTACTCATTGAACTAATGTTCCTTGGGGGAATGGACTCAGGCAATTAGAGAAATCTAATGGTCAGTTGTTTTATCCTTGAATAGTTCCTCACAGCTGGTGCACGTGAAAAACATTTTGCTCCCTGTGTAGGGGCTTGAGGGAAAGAGTCAGAGATTAAACTGGAGAAGGTCAGTGATGATCTCCAGCATCCCTCTGGCTGTGCCTGGACTCTAGAGCTCAAATATTCATATTTTGACCAAATTTTAATATTTGGTTGTTGTAAATGTCCAAAATGAGGCGCCTCAGTGTCCGTGGGCCTGTGAGAAGTCTGGATTGCAGGGAGGTGGAGAGGGGGATGCAAATCCCACCAGAGCTCACTTCAGCTTCTCCTTCCTGCAGACTTTCCCAGCTGGCTGAATATTGATTGCACTGAGAGGCCCAAATGAAAGGAGCCAATTGAAGTGAGCCATGAAATCCCCCCTTCCAGCAGCTTTCCCTGGGCCACACCACACTGCAGGCTCCCTGTAATTTGCTGTCCACAAACCACCCCGAGTGTCCTTGGGATTAACTTTCCCCCTGGGTGCATTTGTTCCATGTTCTCGTGCTCTCTCACACTCAAGTGTTTCATTACTTTCTATTCTCCCTCAGCTCACCTCTGTTCTTCCAGAGATCCCCTTTTTTCCTTTAGGTGGTTCTTCAGCCTGTGAGCTGAGAAAAGCAGCCCTTGGCCCCCACTTCCTCCAGCAGTGGAAAGGACATGGAGCAGATCCTGCACCCTCCTGCCTTCAGTGGCTCTGCAGATCTATGGTTTCATCTCAATTTTTAGCAGATCTTGCCTTACTCTCATCACTTGTTCCTGCATGATTGGCCTTTATCCTCCTGGAATGCTCCAGGTTACTCCCTCAAAACCTTCCTCCCACATTTTCTCTCATCCCACAGGATGGCATTTCCCGGTTTTCCTCTCTGAAATCTCTCTGAAATCAGCGCTGCCTGGCTCTGGTTTTGTGGGACCTCCCTCACAGCCCTTTCTTCATGGCCACTGGACAAGCCAGTCTGCTCCTCCTCCCACTCCAAGGCAGACAAACTTCTGTGGGCAACGAGGGAAAAAGGAGCCTCCCAGTGATCCCTCTTTGCATTTGCTGGTTGGCTCTGCTGTGCATGGGCTTGAACTGGCAGGCAACAGGCTCTGCCTCCTCTATTTCCACTTCAGTTCTTACTATCCAAACCCACTTTGTCATCTTTTCCAAATCAGAATTCAAGTCTATTCAAGAGGCAGAACAAAGGCAGTCCCTGCCCTGGAGAGCTTCCAAATGTTGCTTCATGTCTCCTTCTGATCCTGCCCTAAACGCTCCCGAACTGACTCTGGTTTTCAGGTGCTTTGCTCATCTCCTGGGAGCTGTGTGGAGCTCTGCTCACCAAAATTCCTTCTGGGAATCCCAGGATTAATTGCTTTGCCTGTGTGATGCTCTGAGCCACGGCTGAGGGGTCTCTGTCTGGAAACCCCACGGAGCTGTGCCTGCAGAAACAGGACAGCACTGGTGTCATCTCCACGTCCCTTTGCCAAAGCAGCTCCAAATGCTGCCAAACCTGCTCCAGGCAGTAGGTAAACACTCCTTAACCTGTGCTGGGCTCCCTGTGCCATGGTTTTAGCCCCAGCAGTGCCTGAGTTAGGAAGACTAAAGCCCTCCAACACATGCCTAGGAAGCCCAGCAGTCCCAGCAATGAGCACATGCACGTTCTGCTACTCACCAGCCACTGGAATATTCCTTAATTACAGCCCTGCTCTGCAGAGGCCCCACGTCAGCCCTGCCCTTGGTCCAGCCTCCAGCAGAGGGTTAAAATCCAGGCTCAGCAGCAAAGCCCTGCTGGCTCCTGGGATGACCAAGCATTCATTTCCACTCACTCACCTTCCTGAGTAAGATGGCTGGGGCTGCTCCTGTCATCCCTCTGGGATAACACCTCTGCTTCTTTCTTTCTCTTCCTGTTCTCTGGGCTCCTTTCTTTAGTCACGGGTCTTCATGGATGCCGTGCCCCCACTTCAGACCTGTCACCCCTCGGAGATTCCCAGGCTGCTGACACCCTGCTGACTGGTTTTTTGGTCCTCCTCCAGCTCAGATGCAGGATCTGTAGGAACGCTGAGGCAATTAGGACTGGCAGAGGTTGGAGAACGCCAGCAAAGCCTTCTTGCTCTGTGGACATGCAAGATGCAACCATCCTGGACTCACAGATACCATCACTCCGTCACGAAGGAGGCCAAAATCTTCCCCAAGCAGTTTTCCGAGCTCCTGGGAAACGAGGCAGCCAGTTCTCGTGGCTCCTGTCCTCTGGCAACGGGGCAAGCAGGGCTCCTCCTGGCTCCCAGTGCTGGGCAGCAATTCCCTGGGGATAATCAATCCAGTAACTTCAGCTTTTCCTACTGGGAACTAGAACAGATGTCAACAAGAGGAAGAGGCAGCACAGCGTGGCAGCGAGGAAGGAGGGAATGAAGAAACCGGGAACAAACTGCGCAAGGGCAAAACAGTCATTAGCGAATCAGTAATTGAAACTGCCTATTACATAAGTGGCTGTGTCAGCTGCCAGGCCTCTCCAAATGGATGCTTTTTTTGGGCTAAATTCACCTGCAATCCTGGATTTTCCATCAGCAAACCTCAGAAGGATTTCTTCGCCTTCTCACAGAATGGCTCCGTCGGTGCCCGGAGTTGGGAATTGCAAATGAACAGTTCTAGACCCCAAAAAAACCAACTTAAAAACTCAAAAGGGCACAGTGATAATTCCCTGAATTGCAGGTGAACCCTCAGGGAAGTGTTGTGGCCGAAGAGAAGACCTGGCTTTAAAAAAAGAGACCATTTTGTAACCTTTAAATGACGCCGAAGGTGATCCGATGGAAGGACGGCAGAGATGATTTATTTTGGATTCATTCAAAATTAGAGAAATTATTTGGGGGACCCACAAATGTCCCTGTGCTCTGGGGCTGGGTTTGCCCTGATGTTTGGGGTGTGTTTATTTACACAGAGAGCACCACACTCAGCCTGTAAACTCTAAGATTTGCTATTAATCACTCGGGTTTCATTTTTTTTTTCACGCCCCCAAAAATCTTTACAGGTCAGTCAAAGCACAGAAACGCTGCCAGGTGACTTCCACAACCCATTCCTCACGGCACAAATATTCCTGGGCTGACCTGTCTGCTCAGCACGAACAGGAATCCTCCAAAGGAGTCCCCAAAGAACCCCTGGGAGTTATAGAACGGGAACGGTTTGGAAGCAGAAGGAGCCACACTGACTTAGGGATGTTCCCAGGGACTCTTCATCAGCAACTTGAGGGACAGGACAAAGGGGAAGGGGTTCAAACTGAAAGAAGGGAAATTTGGGGTAGATGTACAGAAGAAATCCTTCCCTGTGAGGGTGAACCCTGGCACAGGTTGCTCAGAGAAGCTGTGGCTGCCCCATCCCTGGAAGTGTCCAAGGCCAGGTTGGATGGAGCTTGGAGCAACCTGGGCTGGTGGAAGGTGTCCTTGCCCATGGCAAGGGGTGGAATGAGATGGTCTTTAAGGTCCCTTCCAACCCAAACCATTCTGTGATTCTGTTTTCTCACTGAATTTACCCCAAATAAAGGCAGAAGTCTCCAAGTTCTTCACAGCTCTTTAAATCCACATCTCGTTTGTTGGAGGGTCTCCGTTTTGCCAAGGAGATTTTGACCAGTCTCCAGCACATTTAAAGAAAAAAAAAAGGACCAAAAAAAATTCCCAACCAAAATGAAAACCAAATACAGAAGAAGATATTTAATTTTCCCTACCCACCAGAACCACAAAACCAACGGCAATAAATTCAAAACCCTGGCAGGAGACAGGAGGAGAGTCTGGCCTAACGTGGACAAAAAAAAAACCAACTTGGAAGCCTTAAACTCTTGAACTTTTCTCTTCCCTTGCTGTGCAACCTTGGACAAATCTTTCTCGCTGTCTCTCTGTTGCTTCATCTGTGAAACAGCCCTAATGACACATTGTCCAGAGGGTTAATTGGTGTTTGTATAAAGCCCTGGTGATGTCACTGCCCTGTAAGCACCACGATGAGTCGTGCTGTGATACTGCTCCTTAATTGCACCGGGGGCAGCTTGGAGTCATCCTGCAGCACTTAAAAATATGTTTTTATGAGATATTCCTAGATCTCATCTCACACTTGGAGGTGATCAGCACCTGCTCCTGTGTCAGGGATGGAATTCTTGGTGCATTTAACAGCCCTGCAGATAAATCCCAATGTGTGTAAGGGGTGCTGGTGGATCAGATGCCAAATATTTTGGCCTTTAGCTTATCAATGAACTCCTTGCAATGCCCATTGCTTAATGTCACAGACTTTCTTCTCACTTCCTCAGCAGATCTCAAGATTATTTTCACTTCTAGGCCTCTTTGTCCGAGATCTGTGGATCAGGAGCACATGTAACTTGTGTTTTCCATACAAACCACTGAATTTGCTCCAGAAGTGAATGCCCATCATGAGGGCTGGGATTTTTTCTGGAATTCTGTCTCCTCTTGGAGAGAATTCATTCACTCCTCACTAACAGGCCTACAATGCAAATGATGCATTTTGTATTAATTTTGTATTAATTTTGTATTAATTTTGTATTAATTTTGTATTAATTTTGCAAAGGGTCTTAACATCAAATACTCTGGTTTTCCCCCTTATCCCTGGCATTTTTGCCAGGAGTCTTCCAGCAGGTTTTGGCAGCAAACATCAGCTTCCTGTTCTATCCCACTAAAAATGTTGACTTTGACTTGAGGGATCAGCAGCTGTTGGGATGAACAAAACAGATTCTCTTTGAAGTGTCACAGAGTTCAGAACGTGCCCTGAGCATCCCTCAGGAGAAAACCCTCTGGGATACACTGCCATGAATATTCCATGTATGCTGTGAGATGGGACATCATCCTGTTGTTGTGTGTGCCACAGAAAATCAGGTTGCCTTGCTCTTATTTCTGATATTCTTTCTGATATGTATTTATTATTAAACTGCCCAGAGACTGTGCTGGCAAATTCTAAGCACCATTTGTACCAACAGTTCCAAAAATAGTTCCAAAACCTGCTCTCTTGTTCTCCAAAGCTGTGTCTTCCTGCAAGGCTGCAGCCTCTCCAAAACCTTGCATCAGAGGGAACTCTGTTTATCCACACCTGGGGTGATCAGAGCCCGGCTGGAAAAAAGACTGGATGTGCTCCTGGACTCTGATCCAAGAATTCTGGTGGCCAGAAAGAAAAAAAAAAACAGACTAGGAGGAGGATTTACATCTCAGGCTGAGTTTAGCAGCTGCTCTGTGTTGCTTAGTAAGCTCTATAAAGGCAATATTTTATCTCTGAAGCTCGATTTCTCCTGTCAGCACTGGAAATGATTCCTTTAGGTCAGGGCAGGGCACATTTAGTCACAGAAATGTAGCAAACAGAGCATTCAATGAGGCTCATTTTGTGAGGGAAACAAACCACTGCTCAGCTCAGCCACAGGATTAAATTCTTCCTCTTCAATTCTAATATTAATTCTGCTTTAAACAAGCAGGAAAATATATTTTGTCACAAAAACCTGCTGTGGATTTTGCAGCTGGGATGTCTGGGAAGAATGTTTATCTGGAGAGAGATCTGGGCATGGATTTTCCCTGGGTAAGGGAAGTTTGGCAATAAAGAAACCACAGCCATTAGGATGGCTTTTGAAGGGATCCATCCATCGACCAGGTAATGGCTTAATAAGGTCCTAATGCCAGGCATTTGGGATGTGAGGAGCAGTGTAATCACACGGATGGCAAATCCCATGGGAGAGCACGTGGGAGCAGGGAAAGGCTCCAGGGGAAAGTGAGGAACAGTGAGGACAAAGGTATGTCACCCCAGCTGTCCTTGCTCCTCTGGGTGATGTCACTGCAAGGCCACTGAGGGCTGTGCTCCAATTATCCTCTGGGAAAGGCAGGATCTGGGAATGGAGCCTGGGGATGGAGCTCCTTACCTGGTGTAGGTGGAATAATAAGGAAGAGGACTGACCTTTCCTCTTGCTGACTCAGGGCCAGGCCAGGGTTATGTCCCATGTCATCCCATCTCCTTGTCAATCATCCCAGAGCAGGTCACGCCCCACCTCAGCCAGGAGAGGAAATCAAAGGGAAAAATGCTCTGCTTTCAGCAAGTCTCCCAGGGATTTTAGCAGAATTTAGGGTTAAATTACCTGGCATTTTACTTGGGTCACCTCAGGCCTGCTGCCTTCCCCCACCCAGAGAAAATGAACTAAATCACCGTGATGTGATGTCTGGAAATAATAATTTGTCCTATAAACACTGATTGTTATCATCACAGCAGTGCTGATGGAAAACAAAGGTTATGATTCACATTTGACACTTGCTGATGTGGAACCTTTAGTCCAGAGAGCTCCAACTTGGTGACACCAAATGATTAAGTGTGAACGCTCCCAGTAAAGCCAGATAAATCACATTATCCCTTCTTTAGACAGGGAGAAAAATGGAGCTTCAAAACAATTGAATAATTTCCTCGTGATCAGGGATGAATCAGTGAGACTCAGGAACCATCACAGCCCTTCTCTGGAGCTCAAGGTGATCACCCACGTGAAGCAATTTATGAACAACTTAGCAGTTCCCATTAAGAAAAATAATGAGGATCAGCTTCCTACAGAATCAAAGGGTTTGGAGAATTCTAGAAATTACTACAGTTCTACTAGAAAATATTATATTTCTGTAACACTATGAAACAAATGTGCCAAAAGGATCACTGCAGGAAAATTACTCAGTGTGGTAAAGCAATAAAACCCCTCAGGAGGATAAAAGAGCCAAAAACAAGGAAGAGAAATAAAGAGAAAATACCTCTAAATTGCCTTTTGGGGCAAAGATTAAAAGAGAGCCAACTTAGCAGCACTTTAGGAGAAAATCAACACCAAAAAAATCCATCAAGGAAATGGCACTGCTTTGGGATGGGAAAGGAGCAAGATGTTTTAATGCAAATGCCATTGCTCATAGTTTAGACCTGGAAGTGATGCATCCCACATGCACCTGAAACTGGAAGGGAGTTGAGGGAGGCAGGATATAATTACTTGAACTAAATCTGGCCAAGACATTTGTATTCGTGTCCTG